TTTATCCAGTCAACATTCAAGAGCCAGTTGTTCAGTTTCCATGAAGCTGTGTGGTTCTGAATTAGTTTCCGAATTCTGAGTGTTAACTTGATTGTACTGTGGTCTGAGAGACTGTTTGTTATGATTTCCATTCTTTTGCATTTGCTGAGGAGTGATTTACTTGCAATTATGCGGTCATTTTTAGAGTAGGTGTGATGTGCTGAGAAAAATGTATATTCTGTGGATTTGGGGTGGAGAATCCTGTAAATGCCTATTAGGTTTGCTTGGTCCAGGTCTGAGTTCAAGTCCTGGATATCCTTGTTAATTTTCTGTCTGGTTGATCTGTCTAACATTGACAGTGGAGTGTTAAAGTCTCCCACTATTATTGTGTGAGAGTCTAAGTCTCTTTGTGAGTCATTAAGAACTTGCTTTATGTATCTGGGTGCTCCTGTATTGGGTGTATATATATTTAGGATCTTTAGCTCTTCTTGTTGCATTGATCTTTTTACCATTATGTGATGTCCTTCTTGGTCTCTTTTGATCTTTGTTGGTTTAAAGTCTGTTTTATCAGAGACGAGTCTTGCAACTCCTGCTTTCTTTTTTTGCTCTCCATTTGCTTGGTAAATCTTCCTCCATCTCTTTATTTTGAGCCTGTGTGTATCCTTGCATGTGAGATGGGTTTCCTGGATACAGCACACCGATGGGTTTTGGCTTTTTATCCAGTTTGCCAGTCTGTGTCTATTGATTCGGGGCATTTAGCGCATTTACATTTAGGGTTAATATTGTTATGTGTGAATTTGATCCTGCCATTTTGATGCTAGCTGGCTGTTTTGCCCGTTAGTTGATGCAGTTTCTTCATTGTGTTGATGCTTTTTACCATTTGGTATGTTTTTGGAGTGGCTGGTACTGGTTGTTCCTTTCTATGTTTAGGTGCTTCTTTCAGGAGCTCTTGTAATGCAGGCCTGGTGGTGATGAAATCTATGAGTAATTGCTAGTTCATAAAGGATTTTATTTGTCCTTCACTTACGAAGCTTAGTTTGGCTGGATATGAAATTCTGGGTTGAAAGTTCTTTTCTTTAAGGATGTTGAATATTGGTCCCCACTCTTTTCTGGCTTGTAGGGTTTCTGCTGAGACATCTGCTGTGAGTCTGATGGGCTTCCCTTTGTGGGTAACCCGACCTTTCTCTCTGGCTGCCCTTTGTATTTTCTCCTTCATTTCAACCCTGGTGAATATGATGATTATGTGCCTTGGGGTTGCTCTTCTTGACGAATATCTTTGTGGTGTTCTCTGTATTTCCTGGACTTGAATATTGGCCTGCCTTGCTAAGTTGGGCAAGTTTTCCTGGATAATATTCTGAAGAGTGTTTTCCTGCTTGGATTCATTCTCTCCATCACATTCAGGTATACCTATCAAACGTAGATTAGGTCTTTTCACATAGTCCCATATTTCTTGGAGGCTTTGTTCGTTTCTTTTTACCCTTTTTTTCCTCTAATCTTGCCTTCTCGTTTTATTTCATTGAGTTGATCTTCAACCTCTGATATCCTTTCTTCTTCTTGGTCAGTTCGGCTATTGAAACTTGTGTGTGCTTTGTGAAGTTCTCTTGTTGTGTTTTTCAGCTCCATCAATTCATTTATATTCCTCTCTGAGCTGTTTATTCTTGTTAGCATTTTGTCAGACCTTTTTTCAAGGTTCTTAGTTTCTTTGCATTGGGTTAGAACATGTTCTTTTAGCTCAGAGAAGTTTCTTATTACCCACCTTCTGAAGCCTGTTTCTGTCAATTCATCAGACTCATTCTCCCTCCAGCCTTGATCCCTTGGAGGAGGAGAGGCGTTCTGGTTTTGGGTGCTTTCATCCTTTTTGCGCTGGTTTCTTCCCATGTTTGTGGATTTATTTATCTGTGGTCTTTGTAGTTGACTTTCAGATGGGGTCTCTGAGTTGACGTCCAGTTTGTTGATGATGAAGTTATTTCTTTCTGTTTCTTAGTTTTCCTTCTAACAGTCAGGCCCCTCTGCTGTAGGACTGCTGGGGTCCACTCCAGGCCCTGCTTGCCTGGGGATCCCCTACAGCAGCTGCAGAACAGTAAGGGTTGCTGCCAGTTTCTTCTTCTTCTATCTTTGTCCCAGAAGGATACCCTCCAGATGTCAGTCTGAGTTCTCCTTTATAAGGTGACTCTTTGGATATATGGGGGTCAGGGAGCTGCTTGAGGAGACAGTCTGTCCTTTATAGGAGCTCAAATGCTGAGCTGTGAGCTCGTTGTTCATTTAGAGCTGTTGGGCAGGCACAGTACATTTAAGTCTGCTGCAGCAGAATTCATAAACGCCTTTTGTTTTCCCCCGGGTGCTCTGTCCCGGGGAGTTAGGGCTTTATTTGTAAGTTTCTGTAATGCTGCTGCCTTTTTTCAGGGCTCCCCTGCCCATCGAGGAGGCAGCCTAGTCACAGTCTGCCTGCAGAGGCTTTGTTCATCTGCTGTGGGCTCTGCCCAGCTGCCGTGTGAACTTCCCCGCAGTCCTTTTTATAGGGGTATAGTTAGAACTCTCTCAGCAATGGTAGCCCACCTCTGTAATGGCGACGCTGTCTGTAATGGCGGACTGCCTCGGCAATGGCAGGCTACCTCGGCGGTGGTGGACTGCCTTGGTAATGGCAGACACCCTTTCCCCACAGAGCTGGACCATCCTGGGTTCAGCCGTGCTTGCTCTGAAACTCTCAATCCAGAGTGTTTCAGATTGCTGGTTTTTGTGGGGGTGGGACCAGCCGAGCCTGATCACCTGGCTCCCTGCCTCAGACCCCTTTTTTTGTTAGTTGAATGGGCCACTCTGTCTCCCAGGCATTCGCATTCCAGTCACCAGTTAAAATGGCGCCCAGATTTGTGTGATTTCTTGTACGGAGACCCACTGCACCAGCTGAAACAGCCGCTGGAGACTTGTGGCGCTTTTTCACCTGGGAATCTTCTGGCCTGGCTTCCTGTTTCATTCCCCTTTTTTTCAGTTGAACGGGCTGATCTGCCTCCCAGGCATTCCAGTCGCCAGTTGAAAAGGCGCCCGGATTTGTGTGAGATTTTGTGTGGAGACCTGCCGCGCTGGCTGTGCTGGAGACTTGTGGCGCTTTTCCGCCCGGGAATCTCCTGGCCTGTCTCCCTGTTTCAGTACGCTTTTTGTCAGTTGAATGGACGAGTCTGTCTCCCAGGCATTCCAGTTGCCTGTTGAAAAGGGTCCTGGATCTGTGTGATTTCCCGTGCGGAGACCCACTGTGCTGGCTCCAACAGCCATGCTGGAGATTTGTGGTGCTTTTTCGCCTGGGAATCTCCTGGCCTGGCTCCCTGTTTCGGTCCCCCTTGGTTTTTTTTTTTTTTTAAAGACTAGTCAAATGCAGTAGTGAGAAGTGGGGGGAAGAGTAGAACAAGGAGGTCGATTTGTAACTGACTGTGAACCATCAATTGAGATAACTCACCACCTTTGGACCAGCCTCAGTCCCCTTTTTATCAATTGAATGGGCAACTCTGTCTCCCAGGTGCTCCAGTAACCAGCTAAAACGGCACATGTGAGTTTTTTGTGTGGAGACCCGCTGCGCCAGCCAAAACAGCCACACTGGCGACCCGTGGCGCTCCTCCACCCGGGAATCTCCTTGTCTGTGGGCAATAAAAATCCGTCTGGAAATACGGAGTCCATTCACCCTCCACGCTTTCACTGGGAGCTGTAATCCAGAGCTGCTCCTAATCAGCCATCTTGGATCCCTCCATCTCTGTATCTTAGTTTTATGATAGTGACTATATCCTTTGTCAAACTCACAGAGCTGCCGGGCGCAGTGGCTCAGGCCTATAATCCCAACACTTTGGGAGCCTGAGGTGGGCAGATCACTTGAGCTCAGGATTTTTAGACCAGCCTGGTCAGCATAATGAACCCCCATCTCTACAAAATTAGCTGGGCATGGTGGTATGCACCTCTAGTCACAGCTACTTGGGAGACCGAGGAGGGAAGATTGCTTGAGCCCAGGAAGTCAAGGCTGCAGTGCGCTGTGATTGCACCACTTCACTCCAGCATGGGTGACAGAGTGAGACCCAGTCTCAAAATACAAATAATTAAAATAAATCGGGAGGCTGAGGTATGAAAATTGCTTGAACCCAGGAGGTTGAGGCTACAGTGAGCCGTGATTGAGCTACTGCATTCCAGCTTCGGTGACAGAGTGAGACCTGGTCTTAAAAAAATAAATAAATAAGTAAAAAGTTATTTGGGGCCAGGCACAGTCCCAGCACTTTGGGAGGTCGAGAAGGGTGGATCATGAGGTCAGGAGTTCGAGACCAGCCTGGCCAACATGGTGAAACCCCATCTCTACTAAAATTACAAAAATTACCTGGACGTGGTAGTGCGCCTGTAATCCCAGCTGCTGGGGAATCTGAAACAGGAGAATCCCTTGAACCCAGGAGGTGGAGGTTGCAGTGAGCTCAGATCGCACCACTGCACTCCAACCTGAGTCTAAAAAAAAAAATTTGGCCAGGTGTTGTGCCTCACACCTGTAATCCCAACACTTTGGGAGGCTGAGGTGGGTGAATTACCTGAGTTTAGGAGTTCGAAACCAGCCTGGCCAACATTGTGAAACCCTGTCTCTACAAAAAATGCAAAAATTAGCTGGATGTGGTGGTATGTGCCTGAAATTCCAGCTCGAGAGGCGGAGGCAGGAGAATCACTTGAACCTAGGAAGTAGAGGTTGCAGTGAGCCGAGATTGCTCCACCGGCACTCCAGCCTGCGCAATAGAGCAAGACTCCGTATCAGAAAATAAATAAAGTAAAAAACAATAAATAAACCTCACAGAGATAAACACTGAAGAGAGTAAATTTTACTGTATGTGAATTTGTTGCTTCCTAATTTAAAAGAATCGCTCAGTCTTCAGGTTAATTCCTTGACGATCGTGAACACTGTGGTGTGTAACCTACAGGACCAGGTTGTCTGAGGTTTACTGGAGCAGGAGAGGGTAGGGCAGGCACAGAACCTCACAAGCTGAACCAGCTGAACTGTGTCTTTGCAGGGATTTTATCAGGGAGAAGAAGTATCGGACAGAGGCTGAGATGTTTGGATGGAGCTTTGTCTTTGAGGAGTTTGTCTCCGATGAGCTGAGAAACAAAGCAACCCAGCCAATGAAGGTAAGAAAACCTGGACTTAGAGCTGAAGTCTAGGAGTGGGACCTAGACAGAGAATCCTGTGGGACATGGGTCACCCAGGACACAGTGGAGAGTCAGACCTGAGAGCTGGAGGCAGAGGGGAAGTAGGAGATACCCACCCTGGAGCGTCAGATCAGTACACACTCCCAGGAAGTTAACCCTGAACCCAAGTTAGCTCTTGCCTAAAGGTCCAAGTCAGGATAGGGTTCAAGATACTTCCTGAATCAAGAGATCACCTTGAGGGGCCAGGCACAGTGGCTCATGCCTATAATCCCAGCACTTTGGGAGGCTGAGGTGGGTGCGTCACCTGAGGTCAGGAGTTTGAGACTAGCCTGGGCAAGATGACAAAACGCTGTCTCTACTAAAAATACAAAAATTAGCCAGGTGTGGTGCTGCACATCTATAATCCCAGCTACTCGGGAGGCTAAGGCAAGAGAATCACTTGAATCTGAGAGGCTGAGGTGGCAGTGAGTGGAGATTGCACGGCTGCACTCCAGCCTGGGCAACAACAAAAAAAGAGATCTGTGTCAAAAAATAAAAAAAAAGAGGTCACCTTGGCAAGCCAACCTCCAATAAGGGTGGTTGGTAAGATGGGACTCTATAAAGATTCCAGTCTCAGCTGGGCATGGTGGCTCACGCCTATCACCTCAGCACTTTGGGAGGCTGAGGTGGGACAATCACTTAAGCCCAGGAATTCAAGACCAGCTTGGGCAACATAGTGAGACCCCATATCTACAAAAAAATAAGAAAATTAGCTGGGCGTGGTCTTGCACACCTATAGTCCCAGCTACTCAGGAGGTTGAGACTGCAGTGAGCTGTGATGGTGCCACTGCACTGTAGCTTGAGTGGCAGAGCAAGACATTGTCTCAAAAAAAAAAAATTCCAGCCACAACCTGACTTAGAGCACTTGAGTCTCAGCCTGACGTCTGTTCTGTGTCCTGTGGCTCAGTGGGGAAGGTGCCCTTGCTGGGCGGAGCATCTTGCAGTGGGTCTCCTTTTTTGCAGCCGGTACTCTGGTGGCTTCCAGTGGAAAAGGCATTTTGGAGGCAGGTAAGGGCTGATTCCACTGCCTCATTTCCTACCCCTGCTTGACTCTTTTATTCTCCAGGCCCAGCTTCCCATACTTCTTGTACATCTAGGAACACTGACTTTCAGAGCACGACGGGAATATCAGGAAATCGCTTGGCAGTCCTGCTTCCCTGCCGAATCTTGTTTGCTGTTACCCATCCGTTTCCCCCTTCCGTCTCCTGTAGTCTCTCTTTTCTGGCTCCGGATGCTCCTCACTCACCTGGCTCTCTTCCAGCTCCCCTGCTCTATCTACTGGTAAAAGCTGAATGCAAGCACCCTAAACCTAGCCTGCCTGGTACTTAATGCACTCCCGGAAGCCTGTCTCACCTCGTCCTGGCTGTCAGCCTGCAGGTCCTGGCTCTGGCATCCGAGAGAGGCTGGAGTACCCAGTGTTACACGTGAGCTGGAATGACGCCCGTGCCTACTGTGCTTGGCAGGGAAGACGGCTGCCCACTGAGGAAGAGTGGGAGTTTGCTGCCCGAGGGGGCTTGAAGGGTATCCAGATGATGAGGCGATTTTTTTTTATTCTTCTCCCTGTCCTGCCTTGTATGGGGGGCTTTAAAGGGTGGGAAGGGGCTGGGTGCGGTGGCTCACGCCTGTAATCCCAGCACTTTGGGAGGCTGAGGTGGGTGGATCACGAGGTGAAGAGATTGAGACCATCCTGGCCAACATGGTGAAACCCCGTCTCTATTAAAAATACAAAAATTAGCCAGGCGTGGTGGCGCATGCCTGTGGTCCCAGCTACTTGGGAGGCTGAGGCGGAAGAATTGCTTGAACCCAGGAGGTGGAGGTTGCAGTGAGCCAAGATTGTGCCACTGCACTCCAGCCTGGGCGGCAGGGCAGAAACCCCGCTCAAAAAAAAAAATTAAGCCGGGAAAAAAAATTAATAACTGGGCCAGATGCTGTGGCTCAGACTTGTAAACTGGCTCAGGTCCCACAACCATGCTTAGGACTGCATTGCCCTGGAGCACATGAGGAGGCCAGGGCCCAGTGCGGTACAATGAGTGGAGAGGACGGCATGGGGAATTAAAAGCAGGTCATTTCAGTCTTTTTTCTTGAAAGCCTCTAACTTCCTTTTGGTTGTCTCACTGTTTTTTTTTTCTTCCCTAATTCTTCACTTCCCCCTCCTCTGCTGCCTCCTTGCTCTCCTGGCAGGTCAGGTTTACCCATGGGGGAACCGGTTCCAGCCAAACCGCACCAACCTGTGGCAGGTAAGACCTACGTTCCGCTTTCACCAAGCACCGCTGAGACCTGCTGCAGGCCAGGCGCTGTGTCGTTCGGCCTCGGCATGCAGAGGGCTTGGGTTCTGATGGAGCTGATGACTCACAGCTGATAAAGCAAAAGGCAACGGGGTATAAGTACTTAATTTCTTTTTCTTTCTTTCTTTCTTTTTTTGAGACAGAGTCTTTTGTCACCCAGGCTGGAGTGCAGTGTGTGATCTTGGCTCACTGCAACCTCCATCTCCATGGTTTAAGCAATTCTCCTGCCTCAGTCTCCTGAGTAGTTGGGATTACAGGTGCCTCCCACCACAGCCAGCTATTTTTTTTTTTCTATTTTTAGTAGAGATGGGGGTTCGCCATGTTGACCAGGCTGGTCTTAAACTCCTGAGGTGATCCGTCTGCCTCAGCCTCCCAAACTGCTAGGATTATGGGCATGAGCCACCGTACATGGCCCTACAAATCTTTAATAGAAAGTACTTATGGTGGCCAGGTGTGGTGGCTCACACCTGTAATCCTAGCACTTTAGAAGGCCGAGGCAGGTGGATCACCTGCGGTCAGAAGTTTAAGACCAGCCTGACCAACATGGAGAAACCCCATCTCTACTAAAAATACAAAATCTGCTGGGCATGGTGGTACAGGCCTGCAGTCCCAGCTACTGGGGAGGCGGAGGCAGGAGAATCATTTGAACCCAGAAGACAGAGGTTGCAGTGAGCCGAGATCACTCCACTGCAGTCCCGCCTGGGCAACGAGCAAAACTCTATCTCAAAAAAATAAGTAAGTAAATAAATAAATAATAAAAAATTAGTTGGGCGTGGTAACATGCATCTGTAATCCCAGCTGCTTGGGACTTGGTCAGGAGAATCACTTGTACCCAGGAGGCAGAAGTTGCAGTGAGCTGTGATCACACTTCCACTGCACTCCAGCCTGAGCAACAGAATGAGACCTTACCTCAAAAATAAATAAATAAATAAATAAGTACAAATAAAATAAGCAAGTGAAAAAGCAGTGTCTTGGGAAGGCTGGCAGGAGTAGGCCGCAGTGCTCAGGCAGGGTCGAGGGGGTGGGTGTGGAGGAGGCTGGGAGAAACCTGTCTTCCGGAGGCTCTGGCACGTGGGGTTCTAGGCAGAGGGCAGGAAGTTGCTGAGAGTGGAGAGGACAGGTGCAGGCTGGGCTTGACCTGGAGCCCTGTGGGTGCAGCGTAAGCACTCTTCCTAATCCAGCAGGGAGCTTGCCATGGAGGTGTGAGGTGACGGGACTGGGGGCTCCGTATGGAAACTTTAGGTCACCGCCCTTTGCCCTTCCCTTTCCTCGAATGGTTTTCCTCTAGATAGGCAGGAGGTAAATCCTTTACCCTTCCTTTCTTCCTTCAGGGAAAATTCCCCAAAGGGGACAAAGCTGAGGACGGCTTCCATGGAGTCTCCCCCGTGAATGCTTTCCCTGCCCAGAACAACTACGGTAAGAGCTCTCCTGGGCTCGCAGCTGTGCTCTCAGACTGGCTGCTGAGACCATCATGTCTGAGAGAGGGGGCAGAGTGAAGCACCTCGCTTCCCCCAGTTGGCCCCCAGGACCTCAGAGGGTAGATGGGGTGGTCCATAGGTCCCAGCCTGGCCTGACCCACTGGTGGGGCTGCAGGGCTCTATGACCTCCTGGGCAACGTGTGGGAGTGGACAGCATCTCCATACCAGGCCGCTGAGCAGGACATGCGCGTCCTTCGGGGGGCATCCTGGATCGACACAGCCGACGGCTCTGCCAATCACCGGGCCCGGGTCACCACCAGGTAAGGGGCTTGGTCCCAGGGAACGTGCGGCTTAGTCTGGATCCCGGTCCAGAATGCCCCCATCTTCACACCACAACCGGCTGTGTGTAATGAGACGGTCCCAGCACCTCCCTGAGACCACGCCCTGTTGTGGGTACAGAAAAGAAGGCCAACAGCACTTGCCATGAAAAGCAAAGGGGCCCAGGACACCTTGTGACTTTTCTGCCAGCTCTCAGTGCCCAAGGGGACTGTGTGTGGCATCTTAATTATGGGGTTTTTCCTCTTGTCCTTACAGCTAGGTGGGCAAAAGAAGGGGAGTGGAATGACCACATCAGTAGGTCATTGCTCATAGTCCTGGAGTTACTGACTCCTCAAACTGGTGGGCACACAAAAAGTCATTTTTTGTTATTGAGATGAACTCTCGCTCTGTTGCCCATGCTGGAGTGCGGTGGTTCAGTCTGGGCTCACTGCAGCCTCAAGTTGCCAGGCTTTGGCGTTCCTCCCACCTCAGGTCCTCAAGTATCTGGGACTACAGGCAGCACCATTATGCCCAGCTAACTTTTGTAGAGATGGGCTTTTCCTGTAGAGATAGGTGTTGCCATGTTGCCTAGGTTTGTCTGTAACTCCTGGACTCAAGCAGTCAGCCCGCGTTGGCCTCCCAGAGTGCTGGGATTGCAGGCATGAGCCGCTGTACCCAGCCACGATATTCTCATTGCTTGAGGACAGGTTTTCTCTACTGAATTGTTCTCAGCTGCTAACAGTAGAAGTTAGTCACTGTCTTTTCTGCCCTCCAGTGCTTTCTCTCTGGGCCACCATCCCTTCCCTCACTCCTGCAAGGTCCCTTCTTTTGTTGCAAAGCCCCTGCCTGTCCCCTTTCTCCCAGGACTGGTCCGGGCTCAGGACCTGCCCTCAAAATAGGCTTCTTTCCAGACCATGCCCTCCCCAGCCCTCAGGCCCCCCGACCACAGCCGGCCCTGTGGGTGAGGCAGGCAAGATGGGTAAGTCCCCAGGTCTCTTTCTCAGAACATGTCCCTCCTCTCTCTCCTCTGCTGGCAGGATGGGCAATACTCCAGATTCAGCCTCAGACAACCTGGGCTTCCGCTGTGCAGCAGACACAGGCCGGCCGCCGGGGGAGCTGTGAGCAGCTGGGTGGTGACAAGGAGAAAAGCCCTTTAGGATCACTGTCATTCCCTGGCCATGTTGCAAACACAGCCTAGGTCCAAGCTCAGGAGCTTCAGCCTCAGGAAGAAACCTCCCCTTTCCTGTCTCCCATCCCTCTGTGGCAGGCATCTCTCACCAGGGCAGGAGAGGACTCAGCCTGCTGTGTCTTGGAGGAGGGGCCTAATGTGTTGGTGGTGGCTGGGAGCTCCGAGTTTGTCTTTGAAGCCAAGTATTATCGACACAGGGGCAAACACACAAACAATTGAACAGAAGGCTCTGAAGGCCATTTGTTAAACGTTTTAAAATCCGTTCTCTCCTACTTTCTCCCTAGATGATTATGAAGCTGACATTGTTTCCTCAAGGCAGGATTTTCGTGGTTCTGTTTGTTTTCCTGGCCAATTGCTGTGGAAGGAGAATGCTTTTTTCATGGCCTCATCTGTTGTTTCATGTCTGTCTGAAGGAAACTAGTTTCCAGTGTGTAACAGGCAGGCTGGTGGCTACTTAAAGCACAGTTCAGTGCTAAAAGGGCCTGGGAGAACCAAATGATGTACCAGGTGAGGTGGTGCATTGTGGGAATCACAAAGCAAATAATACTCCAGGAATACAAATAGCAGAAGCTTCCCATTCTATTGTTTTTTATTTTTATTTTTCTGAGACAGGGTCTTGCTTTGTTGCCCACACCAGAGGACAGTGGTGATCACGGCTCACTGCAGCCTTGAACTCCTGGGCTCAAGCAATTTTCCCACCTCAGCTTCCCTAGTAGCTGGGACTACAAGTGTGCACCACCATGCCTGGCTAATTTTTTGAATTTTTATAGTAATGGGATCTCACTATGTTGCTCAGGCTGGTCTTGAACTCCTGGCCTCAAGCAGTCCTCCCACCTTGACCTCCCAAAGTGCTGGGAGTACAGGTGTGAGCCACCACGCCTGGATCCCCTTCTCCATATGCCTCTAAAAACATGCTCCTGGAGAGTAGCCTGCTCCCGCACTGTCACTAGGTGTCATGGGGTCAATACAACCTCATTTCTCGTAGGACCCTAAGGAAAGAGGGCCCAAGTATCAGTAACTCTGGGCCTCCCCGAAAGAGAGACTGAGATGGTGGCTCATCTGGGAAGTGGAGGAGCAGGGGGCTCCTGGTTCTCAGGCCACATGTCATCTCTGCCCACCAAGGGCCTGGCCAGCCTGCAAGTATTGCTGTGTAGTGGGAACACCTGCATCCCTCATGCACAGCCTTTGAGAGGGAATCATGGCCTCAACTCCAGGGGTTTCTGGTGAGGGCCAAGTGCTCCTTCTGCAGAGGCCTGCGTGCGTCTCACCGCTTTGACTTTTATTTCCCTGGCTTCCCCTCCCCGCCTGCCCTCTAGCCTCCCTGACTGGCCAGCCCCTCAGTAGTCCTCCTCAGCCAGGGAGAGGAGCACTGCCTTAGGTGTGTTCTCAAAGAGGGCAGCTCGGTTCTGCTGCTGCCCCTTCTTCACCCAGTGGCCGTAGATTCGGAAGGCGTAGGCGTCAATGAGCCGGCGCAGAGGCCGGAGGGCGTAGGGGTCTCGAATGACGATCTCCCGGGTCACGGGCTTCACTCGGCGGTACTGGTAGTAGATCCGCACTGCAGCCAGCACGGTCACAGCGATCACCTGCCCCCCAGGCAGAGAAGCTGGGCTGCAGCCCCCGCCAGCCAGCCCCTGGCCATCTAGCACAGGGATGCCCTAGGCTCATTTGCCACGAAGCCTTGAGTGGCTTCTTGGGGCCCCTCCTAGTGTCCCCCACTTCCTCCTCACTGGCATCTGCAGGGATGGACTGGGCTGACACCTATCATCTCTGAAGCTGGCAGTGCAGCTGGAGCCATCACAGGGGGCAAGGAGGGGAGGGGCAGGTGCTCTGGAAACCCTTGGGGTGTAAGGATACCTGGGAGAGGAGAGAGCTTAGAGTTTTAGACTTGGGGTGCTGGCAGCAGCTGCCACAGGGGCTGGGGCGGGATGCTTCGTACCTTGAACTTCCCCCGGGGGCTGAAGTGCCGCACTTCTTCCACCACGTACTGCTGGAAGAAGGGGTGTGCCAAGGCCTCTTCTGCTGTGCAGCGGCTCTGGGGTTGCACCACCAGGAAGCGGGAGACCTGGGAGGGGATGAGAGGGGAACCGAGAATGTCAAGGCAGGTCCCCTCAGCATGTCAGGAGATAAGGGCCTCCTCGGACAGGGGTGCCTGGCACTGTGGCCCTGAGCCCCGGGCCAGTAGGCCTGGCCTCTCACCAGGTCCTTCACGGTGTCTGAGTAATCATCCCACTCGGGTGAGCCAAACTGATAGTTGCCACTCATGATCATCCTCAGCATCAGCATCTGCTTCCGGTGCCAGAAGGGCGGGGAGCCGGCCAGCAGTGTGTACATGATAACTCCCGTGCTCCACCTGGAGGTGTGAGGGCCCAGGGCCACTTACCCAGCGCCAGGGGCACCAGCCCAGTCCAGCCAGGTGCTCCTCCCCCAGCACACTCACATGTCCACCTCCTTCCCGTAGCCTGGATGGTCGTCGTTCATGGAACACTCGATGATCTCAGGGGCCAGGTAACTGGGGGTCCCACAGACCTCTGCAGGAACAGTCACCATCAAGACAGGTCAGCAGGGCGCTCAGAATAGGAAGTCCAGGCTGGGTGCAGTGACTCATGTCTGTAATCCTAGCACTTTGGAAGGCCGAGGCAGGTGGGTGACCTGAGGCCAGGAGTTCTAGACCGGCCTGGCCAACATGGCGATACCCCCATCTCTACTAAAAATATAAAAATTAGCAGGGCCTGGTGGCCCATGCCTGTAGTTTCAGCTACTCAGGAATCTTGAACCCAGGAGGCAGAGGTTGCAGTGAGCCAAGATCGCCCCACGTCTCAGAAATAAAAGAGGAAGTCCAAAGTGACAACGGAGATGGAACAGAAATGGCACTTGGGCTGGGACTCCCCCAGTGTTCACCAGCTTCAGGGCCCAGGGCAGGGCGGGGTGCTGTTCACAGGGCTACCAGCTCAGGGTCCACCACTGCTTCCCTGGTTACTTCCAGCCATCCTGGTCTGGAACTAGGGCACTGGGAGCCTGGGAGAGGACTTACCTGAAGAAATGCCTAGCCCATGAAATGGTGGGGTTTTTATTCTGGGGAACAATTAAGTTAGGGGAGAAACCCAGGTCATCTGTATTCCTCGGAGGGTTGGTGAGAGCCTGAGGCTCAGACGTGGGCCAAGGTCATGTTACCGGACCTCGGAGCCTCTCTCCGGGCTCCAGCTGGCAGGAAAAGCCAAAGTCTGTGAGCTTGATGTTCATGTCGTCATCCAAGAGGATGTTCTCAGGCTTCAGGTCCCGGTGCACAATGTTGAGTTTGTGCAAGGTGCGGATCACCTCCAGCAGAGCTCGCATGATCTTTCTAGGGTGGGGCACACGCTTGTCACTTCCCCTGTGCAGGGTCAGGCGACAGGCAGGGAGACACAGCTCACATTTCAGCCACACTGCAAGGGAGCAGCATATGCGCCCTGACACCCCTGGCACCCCAGGGCCCGTGGCCTCAGGCCAGGTGGGAGGGAGCAGAGAGAAGGGCAAAGGGACCCTCACCTGGTTTCCTTCTCACTCAGGGTGACCTTCTCAGTGAGGTAGTCAAAGAGCTCCCCTCTCCTCATCCTGTGGAAACAGGGTTGGTAACTGGATTGGTCCCAAGACCACCAGCCTCCCTCCTCTGCTCCCAGAGAGCTGCCTTCCACCTGGTACCTCTAGAAGCTAAGTGGGCCACTTCCCATGGAGAACCACAGTGTGGGGAGAGGAGTGGTTCTGGAAGAACTGGGAGAAAAGCGAAGGAGGGTGGAGAGGTGGCCCACCTCCGAGCCTCAGGCTCTCATCAACCCTCCGAGGAAAACAGATGACCTGGGTTTCTCCCCTAACTTAATTTTTTCCCTGGAATAAAAATCCCACCTTTTCATGGGCTAGGCATTTCCTAGATAAGTCCTCTCCCAGGTTCCCATTGCCCTGGTTTCAGGCCAAGATGGCTGGAAGCAACCAGGGAAGCAGTGGGCCCCAAGCTGGTGGCCCTGTGTACAGTACCCCGCCCTGGGCCCTGAAGTTGGTGGACAATCAGGGAGTCCCAGCTCAAGTGCCCTTTCTGTTCCATCTCCATTGTATCAGCGTCAGGGTCCTCCCATCTATGGAAGTGACACCGTGGACTCGGATGTATTGGGGCCTAAATCATGACTGGAGGCTGAAAGAGGGGACCCTGAACCACTGGCCCAGGACCTCAGATCCAGATCAGAAGGACATGAGTATCCAGATTTTTTTTTTTTTTTTCCGAGACGGAGTTTTTGCTCTTGTGGCCCATGCTGGAGTGCAGTGGCATGATCTGGGCTCACTGCAACCTCCGCCTCTCAGATTCAAGTGACTGTCCTGCCTCAGCCTCCTGAGTAGCTGGGATTACAGGCGCCCCCCCACCACACCTGGCCAATTTTTGTATTTTTAGTAGAGACAGGGTTTCTCCATGTTTCCAGGCTAGTCTCGAACTCCTGACCTCAGGTAGCCTCCCAAAGTGCTGGGATTACAGGTGAGAGCCACCGCGCCTGGCTGAGTATCCCGATTTTTCCCAGGAAACAAAGGGGAAGAATCGGCTGTGCAAGAGTTGCAGTAACAAAGTTTGCCAATTTCGGGATTAAGAACTGCAGTTCAATCTTCTTCCTGGGATGATCTAGAAAGAAGTCTCTGATAGAACAATCTGGTTATATGCTGGAGGGCTCCTCAGGGCAGCATTAAAAATAGCTTCCCCCAGCAACTTCTTCAAAGGTTAAAGACATTTGAGCTGCCCTCATGGGCTGTACAGGACAGGGCTGCAGAGCAGAGTCGAGACGGCTGCAGCTGGTGAGTCTGGAGGGTTTGGAGAAAGTCTCCCTCTTGCCCAGGCCGGGGTACAGTGGCACGGCCTCAGCCAGCTGCATCCTCTGCTTCCCAAGTTCAAGCCATTCTTGTGCCTCGGCCTCCTAAGTAGCCAGGATTACAGATATCTGCCGCCATGCTTGACTCATTTTTGTATTTTTTGTAGAGAGAGGGTTATGCCGTGTTGCCCAGGCTGGTCTTTTCCTGGCCCACTGTAGCCTCCCAAAGTACTGGGACTACAGACATGAACCCCATGCCTGGCCCTAATTTTAAAATTTTTTGTGTTCCAGGCACGGTGTCTCAGACCTGTATTCCCAGCACTTTGGGAGGCTGAGGTGGGTGGAATCATGAGGTCAGGAGATCAAGATCATCCTAGCCAACATGGTGAAACTCCGTCTCTACTAAAATAAATAAATACATTTTTTTGTAGAAATGGGGTGTCACTTTGTTGCTCAGGCTGGTCTCAAACTCCTGGCCTCAAGCAGTCCTCCCACCTCGGCCTCCCAAAGTGCTGAGATTACAGGTGTGAGCCACCATGCCTGGCCAATAATAAGCCTTGA